CCCGCCTCTGCGTAGCCTCACCTCACGGCAGCTACATAAATTATTAAAAAATATTCAACTATAGATTGAAGATAGCAGAGTCACGTCTAGCGCGCATGATTAAGTAGTTGTTATTGTCAGGAAAGCCAAGAATCTGGAGGCAAAAGCGAATGCCATAATCGGCAATCTGCCTAATAAAGACGTATTTGTATCTTAACTTTCCCAGGAGTCTTCATCTTTCTCAAATCAGTGTAATAATTTGTCTTTCACAAGGCACAAATTATGAGGAGTCCGGGTTTTTTTTATTATAATAGCGTTCTGCGCTTGCTTCATTTCTTTGCCACCTGGCTATTTTGCACTCTGGTGTTTTCCTTTTCCCTGGTGAAAACTTTAATTAAAATAATGTTTTCGTGTGTTCATAAATAGGACAACTCTTGTGAAACACGTTGTTTCTTTTTATGCTTTGTATTGCCTCTGATTCCTGAGTGAACCGTGACAGAGCTTGGGGACTACACTCGGCCATTTAATGACGCAATTAAGAAATGAATGTCAGAAGAAACGTAATCAATCTACCAATGAAATGGAAGCAAGTATTCCAAAAATAATATTTTTTGGATTTGGACCGAGAGAGCCTTCAGGATGGTTTGCCACATTAACATTTCCAAGGATAAACCGAACTACCATCTTACCTTACTTCAGGAAAACTAGGGATCAATGGACGTTTAGAATAAATTCTTAGCCAGTACAGGGTGCGAGATTTGGACAACGTTTTAAGATGAGGAGTTAAATCCTCGCTTACCATGTGGAAAATATATCCCTCTCAGGTTTTCAGACCTTCATTTAAGCACTATCATTCCGTGTGAGCAACAGCCTTGAGAATGACAGAATGGAACTGGAAAAACTCCTAGAGAAGCCCTTCTAGCTGAGAATAAACCAGAACCTACATTGCCTGTCCACCTAACATGCTCAGTGAACGCAAGTGGATTTGTGGGTGGGCGGTGAATGGAGAATCGAGCCTCTCCGGGAATTCCAGAAAGCTACCTTCAGGGATAAAAACAAATGTCTATCTCTACATAACTGTCAACTATGTAAAGGCATGTTCTGGTCGTTCTGCAACTTGGCCACTGTAACATTATGGGTCTTTCTGCAATGTCACGAATTGATGGTGAGAGACTATGACATGCACCCTACATGAGATGTATCGAGGTATGTGTGGGCACGAACATATCTGGTGTTTGTCCCGAACTAGTGTTATGAGCCTTAGGTCCATGATTTGAAAGAATACAGTCAAGACCAAATTTAGTTCAGTGACAGTCTTTCTTCCTAGCACAGCAGTTAAATCTTCAAGTGCTGACCAGCTGAAGCATCCAAAAACTAATTACATGAAAGTCCTACAGATAATTAGCTCACTTTCACCTTTAGCAATCACTTAATCACAAAGAGTTTCGTTGCAAAGGGGTTTGTGTGACTGTAGATCAGACTCTAATGGGGCAACCGTCATTATTTTGGCAGGTCAAAACGGATGGAGTCTAAAAATCATGTTGTAGAGAAAATATTTTCTTCATACTGCAGGATAAAATATTTTTGGAGCTGTGTAGGCCACTGAGGTCATTGTGATACAGAAAAGAGGGGAAACATGATTAAGCTGGACAACGTGGCAGGTTAAGATCATGTGTTAATGCTGATCCTGTAGTAACAGTCTAATAAATGAACAATGTCAGATTTTCTTCAACTGCAAGCACAATCGCGTTAGCTCCTTTTGCAATAACCTGGACAACATAAGAGAAATGTATAAAGTGGAATTTGGCACTATACGGAGAAGATGAACTGTGGGAGATGGGGTGGGTGTGTGTGTGTGTGTGTGTGTTCACTAAAGTAGCAAAGAGCATCATCAGGAAGAAAGCAAGGCACAACCGGACGGTTCTCGGTGAAATATTAGCACGTTGAATACGTGTGCAGTTCAGAGCAAGACATCACTGTTGAGTGACTAGGAAGGTACGGAAGATAGAATAAACGTGTAAAGACTGGAAAACACACATTATTTAGCCTTAGTCGTTAAGAAATCAGAATGGAAGCAACAATCATTCAACTACCCTGAAAGATGCATGGAAGATCCAGAAACACTAAGAGCGAGTAGAAAATGGGGCTGGTATGGGCAGCATACAGCGAAGTTCTACAAAGAAATAAATCTTACTAATTGGGGTGGGGAGATACTTTGGTAATGACTGTCTCCTGTCCACAGAATTTAAACAAGGAAATATGATGTTATTCCCATCGAACTCATTAGGAATGCTACTGTGACTTCAGAGTCTGGTCAAGGAATACGGAAGGCAGATATTATTGATCTAATGAGAAAATGGATGGTTTTTTTCCCCCGAATAATACTTATTTTTCAGGAACTTGATGTTGCTGGTTTTCAAATGGAACATAGATAAGAAGTAAAATAATCCAATAACAATCTGTTTCCCCTGGAAATCCTAGTGATAATAGAGTGTGATAATTGTAATTATTTTTGTGTGTGTATGCGACTGGCGTTTATGTACTTGGTGGCCACACAGACAAGGATCCTGCCCCGAAGAGCTTACAGTCTAAATGCAACCAGCAGCTGTGACGTTTGTATCGCTGTGACGTAATGTACCATCTGAGCGAACGCTTTCAGCTCAACCTCCAGTGTGATCTTTGTGACGGCCAATACATTAGGTTCCATTATCTCATCAGCCTGTGCGCAGACCTATGGATGTGTGCTGCTCAGAAACGTAATGGGGACGGCTTTCTATGAACGCCTCTGAAACTTGAGGGCCTCAACCTCAGCCTTTGGAACAAAACGAACGGTGGCCGGTGGGGTGGAGAGGGGGTTGAGCAGGGAGATCACAAAGGCTCGGGCATGGCATCCCAATCGAGGTACGGGTTAGGAGTGAAGAGGCGCAGCCCTGTGTGTAGTCCCAGGGTGCGAGAGCGGCAGTAGGGGAGTAGGCGCCTCAGGTGACTACTCATCCCGCTGAAGGGTATCGAGGAAAGAAAGGGTGTGGGAGATAAGGGGCCAGGAAGGTCGGGCTGGTGAGCGGACCTGTGGCATGACTGTGCAAGCGGAAGCCCGAAAGGTGCAGCTGGGAAGGGGACAGGGAGATTTCTTTTGTCACCCGCCTCCAGAGAGAGGAGCCAAACAAGCGGGATTGCTCCCTCCAGGGGAGCCTGAGGGGGAAAGGCAGTAGGAGGTGCTGCAGCGGAGATCAAAAGCAGCGCCAAGGATGCGGTGGCTGGACATCAAAGGCTGCTTGCTGGCACTGGAGAGCAGCGACTCCTGAGCGCTGGTGAATTATTGTACAAAAGGCAGCCTAGGCGCCCCCATACATGGGGCCTGCACTGGATGGCAGTGGAGGCTGGCGGGGCTTTAAGAGCCAGCGGTACGGAGGACAGGCAGTTCTAGGGGGCACGGGAAATGGTCTTTTCTATGAGTGGGTGGCGGGGGCTTGCCACATCCGTTAGGTGAGTTTGACGCAGAGAACTGGGGTCCCGCAGAGGTGCGTGCGGGGGAGAGTGGGGAGGTGAAGTGCAGCAGGAGAGGAGTCAGCATCAAGCCTTTAATGACTCAGTTGATCAGCAAAACTGCATTGCACCCCGGCCTGTCTCCACCGTTCACCAGAGTGGCCCTCCCAACGCACCGGAACGCACGCGTGCTGCGTGTGTGTGTGTGTGGGGGGGGGATAGCTGTGCTAAAGGAAGCGGTTTTTCCCACGTGCAAAGGGTCTGCATCGCACTGGCTGATACCCCTAGTAGCGCAAATCGCAAAGCGCGCGCGAGCATTTCCCTGCAGTCAGTAGCCAGCCAGGATTGCATCCGCGTGGCCGTGTCTGCCGG